TCTATTTTATTCTATTCTATTTATCTATTTATATATAAGAAAAGAAATAGCTCCTTAAAAGACAATTATATCCTTAAAATAATCTAGGTGTCATTTTCCCCACAATTCACTCCTCTATATCACACAATTGCCATGTGGCAATTTCAAGGATAAATGGGGCAATATAAACACCAAAGGGATGTTGCTATATACTCTTAACAACGTGGCATCAAGTATGTGGGCCCCAATGTATAAAAAACCACCATTTTCTTTAAAGTATTATAACTTTTTACCGTTTATCTAATTTTTATAAAAAAATATCAAAAATCATAATTTTTTACGAGCTTTCATATGATATCAATATAGCATATATAAATTTAAAAGGCTCTAAAAGTTTATTAAACAACCTTCATATTTTATATTACCAATGCTCTTTTATTAAGCGCACTCTAAGTAACATTCTCTTCAAAGTGTTATAACTTTTTCATTGTTTCTCTAATTTTTATAAAAAAAATATAAAAAATCAATAATTTTTTCGATTTTTTATATCACACTAATATTAAATATATAAAATTTTTAAAGACTGAAAGTTTTCTATTTATATATAAGAAAAGAAATAGCTCCTTAAAAGTCAATTCTATCCTTAAAATAATCTAGGTGTCATTCTCCTCACAATTCACTCCTCTATCACACAATTGCCATGTGGCAATTTCAAGGATAAATGGGGCAATATAAACACCAAAGGGATGTTGCTTTATAAAAACTTTTTCAAAGGGATGTTGCTTTATATTTTTTTTTTCGAAAACTATTGTTGAATTCATCTCATTACAAATTGTTATAATTTGATTTTAAATATTTTTTTTACTAATCTATTTATATATAAGAAAAGAAATAGCTTCTTAAAAGACAATTATATCCTTAAAATAATCTAGGTGTCATTTCCCCCACAATTCACTCCTCTATATCACACAATTGCCATGTGGCAATTTCAAGGATAAATGGGGCAATATAAACACCAAAGGGATGTTGCTATATACTCTTAACAACGTGGCATCAAGTATGTGGGCCTCAATGTATAAAAAACCACCATTTTCTTTAAAGTATTATAACTTTTTACCGTTTATCTAATTTTTATAAAAAAAATATCAAAAATCATAATTTTTTACGAGCTTTCATATGATATCAATATAGCATATATAAATTTAAAAGGCTCTAAAAGTTTATTAAACAACCTTCATATTTTATATTACCAATGCTCTTTTATTAAGCGCACTCTAAATAACATTCTCTTCAAAGTGCTATAACTTTTTCATTGTTTCTCTAATTTTTATAAAAAAAATATAAAAAATCAATAATTTTTTCGATTTTTTATATCACACTAATATTAAATATATAAAATTTTTAAAGACTGAAAGTTTTCTATTTATATATAAGAAAAGAAATAGCTCCTTAAAAGTCAATTCTATCCTTAAAATAATCTAGGTGTCATTCTCCTCACAATTCACTCCTCTATCACACAATTGCCATGTGGCAATTTCAAGGATAAATGGGGCAATATAAACACCAAAGGGATGTTGCTTTATAAAAACTTTTTCAAAGGGATGTTGCTTTATAATTTTTTTTTCTAAAACTATTGTTGAATTCATCTCATTACAAATTGTTATAATTTGATTTTAAATATTTTTTTTACTAATAGAGAATTAAATATAATGACAGTTAAAGTTGTACATTGTCAACATAAAAGTGGAAATGTTGCAACTAAAAAATAAAGAAAGTAGTAAAATAAAACCAAATTATAATTCCTAAAAGCTAATACAACAACATCCAAGCCTTGGTCCCAAACGATATTAGGGTCGGCTAACATGAATCGATACATGATATCACCAAAAGGAAAAGAAAGAAAATTCCTAAAAGCTAATAAGTCACATTTTTCTCACTAAGTGATAGTGGTCATAATTATGAATGATTTCCTTGAAACTAAATTGCCCTGAATACACTTTTATAGTTACTTTGGTATAAAATAAAATATAATTATAATTCCCAAAGATAGAGGGGTCACATTTTTAGGAAAAACATCTCAAATAAATATTTGTGGATTTTATTTTTGAGTGGTCGCATTTTCTCTAGCATAATTCCTAAAGATAGAGGGGTCGCATTTTCTTTAACATATGAGTGGTTTTAGGTATTAGATAAACAACTAATAATGGAGCGGGTGAATTTCGTCTTTCAGATGTATTGCTTTTAGGTATAAGATAAGCAGACGAATAATCGAACGAGAAAATTTTCCCTCTAATATGTAGTCTTTTAGGTATAAGGTAAGCGGACTAATTATTGAGCGAGAGGATTTTCTCTCTCATATGTAGTGTTTTTAGATATAAGATAAAAGCATAATTATTTTCCCTATCATATTTAATGTTTTTTTTTTTGGGAAAACTGTCAAATAGGTCCTCGAACTTTCATAAAAAAGTCAATTAAGCCCTTCTATAGGAGACTTTGTCCGGTCGTCGCGATTTGGAGCGGTTCCCGGTGGAATTTTTTGATGAAATTTTTTGTGCATCTTATTTATCAATTCTAGTTTACTCATACCAAATTTCAGCTAAAAATTTAATCGGGAGCGCATTCAAATTAATTTGAGAACGCAAAAATGCACATTTATCTTCAAGAATTAATTTGAATGTGTTCCCGATTGAATTTTTAGCTGAAATTCGGTATGAGTAAACTAGACTTGGTGAATAAGATTCTCAAAAAAATTCATCAAAAAATTCCACCGGGAACTGCCTCAAATCGCGACGGCCGGACAGAACCTCCTATAGAAGGACTTAATTGACCTTTTAATGAAAGTTCGAGCACCTATTTGACAGTTTTCCCTTTTTTTTGTATAAGATAAGTCGGCTAACAATTGAACGGGAGAATTTTCTCTCTCATTGTAGTGCTTTTAAATATTGACGAAGTAGAAGATAAGTTTGCTAACAATTGAGTGAAAGATAAAAAAAAATTGTCTCTTACATGTAGTTCTTTTAGGTATATATATTGGATACTAGATAAACGGATTAATAATTGAGTGAGGGCATTTTCTCTAACATATGAGTGGTTTTAGGTATTAGATAAAGAACTAATAATTGAGCGGGCGAATTTCGTCTTTCAGATGTATTGCTTTTAGGTATAAGACATGCTGACTAATAATCGAACGAGAAAATTTTCTCTCTGATATGTAGTTCTTTTAGGTATAAGGTAAGCGAACTAATAATTGAGCGAGAGAATTTTCTCTTTCATATGTAGTGCTTTTAGATATAAGATAAAAGCAGAATTATTTTCCCTATCATATTTAATGTTTTTTTTATATAAGATAAGTCGGCTAACAATTGAACGGGAGAATTTTCTCTCTCATGTGTAGTGCTTTTAAATATTGACGGAGTAGAAGATAAATTTGCTAACAATTGAGTGAAAGAACTTTTTTTCTCATATGTAGTTCTTTTAAGGATGTTTTTACTTTGACTATTTTCAGTCCCAGACCAGACTAGATTAATTAGACTAGACTTGGAAAGTTATAAAATACACAGAGACTAAACATTTAGATATGTAACATCGCCCCCAAGTTTTGGTACTTTGTCAAATTGTGTATTGAACCCTGAGAAATGAATAAACGCATTTTACGTGATTGTAAATTTTTATCATTTCTTTTACGTGAATAGTAAAATTCACGTGGGGCCCACACCGAAAGTGGGGGCCGCCCGATAGTATCGGGACCACATATTATATTCGTTTGGGTCAAGATAATATGTGTACAATTGTGGATATCCTTGTTAGGCCATAGGAATTATGTGAGTAACCAGTTGGGCATATAAAGCTCATTTATCGGTACCGACGCACTAACAGATAAAAAGCCATAATAAATTATGGAGACCATTAAATTAAAAGCTAGGGAATATAAATTCATGCTAATAGCCAATGATAATTGGAAGGATGACAAATATTTCATTTGACTTGATAAAATGAAATATAGTTAAAACAATCTGGAAAATACAATTTTCGGGACCAAATATACACTTGGGGATACAAAGGGATGACCTCCCACATGTGTGGGGCCCACCCCACGAAATTAATGGAGACAAGGCCAGAGTTGGGCGGCCAAATGATAGGTGGGGTGAAGGGAGGGGTTGACTTGAGTGGTAGATAGGGCTGATCAAAACCCGATCCGACCCGAAAAACCCGATATTTTTTTCGGATATTATCCGAACCGAAGTGGATATCCGACCCGAAAAACCCGAAACCAAAAATCTGATTAATATTGGGCCTAGATCGGGTGGCGGGTAGGGTTTGTAAAATCCCAACCCGACCCGCCCGAATATCCGAAATATATGTTAGTGTGTACTTTGAATATGGTAAATTAATACTTGCATCCAATTATTTGTGTAATTAATCTAATTATATTGTGCAATTTGTATTAAATTATTTGTGTAAATTGAATGTGTAGTGCACTAGTGTGTATAATTTTTGTCAAAGTTGCATTCCAACACTTTAATTATCCATATAATGTGTTTTAATATAACCGAAATATCCGAAGTATATTAAATTATGTAGTGTGTACTTTGAATATGTTAAATTAATACTTGTGTTCAATTATTTGTGTAATTATTTGTGCAATTTGTGTTAAATTATTTGTGTAATTTGGATGTTTAGTGCACTAGTGTGTACAATTTTTGTCAAAGTGGAATTTAAACACTTTAATTATTCAATTATATTTTTTTTTAATATAACCGAAATATCCGAAACCCGACCCGATATCCGATAATATCCGACTTAAAAATATCCGAAATACCCGATCCAAAATATCAAAGGGTCGGGCCTGTATTTAAATTAAAAAACCCGAACGGGTTTAGGGTTCACAAACGCGACCCGCCCGAATCCGACCCGTGCACCGCCCTAGTGGTAGAGCATCAAAAGGACAATGAAGGGCCATGTTGGTGTGATGTTTAAAGAATAAGCCAAGATAAGGCCATATCCTCCCCCCTTGCTCATTCATGCACGACCCCATCACCCATTTTTGAGAGAGAAGCTCTGCAAATTATTACCTCCACCATCTCCATTCGAATCAAGCTCAAGAGAGGAAGGAGGAAGGAAAAAGGGAGAAGAGAAAGGGGGAAGTTAGAGGAAAACTTGTGGTTAATAAGGTAATGACTTCATTAATCCCATTTCCTCCCTTTGATTATATTTCATACTCCCTTTGTGGTTAAAGCTGTATTGACTGAAATTAGTATAGATGATCATTTAAGCCATTTTTCATTTAGTCTTTTTTCTTTATCTTATTAATAAAATACGAGTATATTTTAATTTTTTTTATAAATCAGCATAATCAGTCAATCCAGCCATTTCAGTCAGAACTTCATAAATTTCAGCAGAAACAACCAATACTGGCGATTTGGGTAGTACCAAACGGGTTCTAAAACTTTGACCAATTATATATTTTTATTGGAAATTACTTATAAAATAAAAATGATACGAATTATATATTTTAGGAAAAATTGAAAATAATAATCTCAACTATTTCTGGTCCGCCAACAATAATCCCAACTATTGATTATATTTGTATAATCCCAAATATATGGACCGTTCGCCAATAATGGTCCATGACCGGATATTACTTGCTATAACAGGTGATTTTTAATAGAAATTAAACGTAAAAATTTAAAGTTGGGATTATTTATAGGGATTACATGCTATATCTCTTTCCATCCACTTTAGAAACCATATGAATTTATTTATAGTTGGTCACGTCGGACCATTATTGGCGGAAGGTCCCTAAAATTGGGATTATTCTGAAATAATCGATAGTTGGGATTATTATGAGCGGACCGCCAATAGTTGAGATTATTATTATTATTATCAATTTTTCCTATACTTTATTAAAAATACTTCCATAAAAGTACAAAATATATAACTTTCATAATCACTCATATTATATATATTAAAATCATGGTCCAAATTTTATGAATGCCAAAGTTTTTTGACACGGATGTAGTCCAGACACATTAATTAAACAATTCTCAGACAATGTAAAGTGATTTTAAAAGAGTGAATTACTCAAATATCAGAAAAATATGTGTTAAATGCAAAAATACAACCCCAGTGTTTTAAATTCTCTAAATAATCCGCTGCCAGTCATCATCACCGCCACCGGATATCCCCACCATCAATGGACTGCCTCGATTATGTAAGGAAAGGTCAATTATTTTATTAGATTAGAGCATCTTCAATGCTAAAACGTTAACGGTGCATACGTGGCATGAGAAACAACCAATTAAAAATCAATAAATAGAATCTCTCTCTCCTTATTTAAAGGATCTTACATCATTTTGATAAGTTTTTCTTCACAATGTCAAGCACAATGTCTAGATGTAGACATTGTGGCTGACATTACAGACACAAACTTACCAAAAACGCATAAGACCGTGGAAAGAAGGAGAGAGAAATGTCATAAAATCAATATTTTGTGTCTATCTCTCACATGTCACATGTGCACCGTGCACATTGTAGCATTGGAGATGCTCTAAGATTTAGATTTATTAAATGCAGAAAGTTATTGTATAGTCCTATTTACAGAAGATTTAGATTTTACTCCTATTTATGCAATCATGTTTAGGTTTACTCATGTTTAGGATAATTTCCCAATTAAACATTTAAAAGTACAAATACTTGTGTGACTTTAAAATTAAAAATTCATTTAGTTCCGTCTTTTCATAAAAACAATTTATTAAACAAGTAAAACGTTTAATTATTCTAGCATTAGAATAAATATAAATTACCTAAAACAACTAGCAAATAATGTTAATCTAAAATAAACATTTTTATTGGGTGAGCATGAACATGTGGTCATTTGAGGACCAAAATATTCCAGATTTTTATATCCAATGTAGCACAAGCTAGGTACAATTTAAAAGAAATACGTAGTAATATCAAACATAGAGAGTATAAACGAACATTCGAACATATGGAGTATTTGTTGATATACGGAACATAGAAGCCAACTGCTAATCTAACAGACGAAGGTTTTGTTTAACTTTTTCCGTTGGTTAAGGGGTCTTTTTGTTCTCTTTTGTGGTTTGTTAGGGATTTCTGCTAAAAAAATAAGTTTGAGGGCATAGCTCTACCTTACAAATACCAAGCCGCATAGCATAATCTCACATTCTCACCCGATTTTCGGCCTAATTCGCTCAATATCACAGTTCTCCCTCACCCGGGCCGTTAGCTCCTGGTCACCGCCTATCCGGCCGACATGTTAGTTTCTCCCTTTTACCTCTTCGTTTTCTCTGTTTTTAATTTTGCATTTCCTCATTTTTAATTCCACTCGTTTAAGTTTCTGGTAGTTTTAGGTTTTGTTTTTGGTTTTAGTTTTTTTAGGCTCTTTAGTTAATTGTGTAAGTCAGTCTACGGAAAATAAAATCTTATTCAAAACTCTTTACACCGGAGACATAAAATACACTTCATAAGTTTTCCATCTAGTACATTGTTTGCTGAAGTTGACACTTTTATTGGTTTATTGCTGTTGTCTCTTGATGGTTAGTTATTCCAAGAATTTTGAAATGTTCTTCATCTTTATTTATTCTCAGAGTACTACCTATATATAAACATAAGGATGGAGAGTATCGTGTGTCCCTATCGCAGCCAGCTTAATGATATTTCTTAGTTCTTACATGAGTGATTGTTATGATATTTCTTAACCAATTTGTAATCATCTACGTAGCAGTAAACTTTTAATTTCCAGGGTCATATTCTGTGAATAATCTGTACGCTTAAACAAACTGTTTGCTCATCATTACTGAGATGTTACAATTATGTTCTTGGCACTTGGGCAGTAAACATGCTATCACAGCCACCCCATCAGGATGATTCAGACAGTCAACACTCACCTAGCACCCCTAAATCTGAAGTGAAGCCATTATTTATCTCAACAACAGAAGCCCAACCGGTACAGAATGATCCAACAATGAAGCCCAACTCTACCCAACAACCTATCTCACATTGTCAGCAACAACCGGTATTGCCTTCTGAATTAGGCCAACGTCGGCACATTGTCATCAGCGAGTAAGTTCTTTAACTTGTGTGACCTTTTAAAGAATAAAATCGATATTTACTTCATTGTGTCATCTTAACATGAAGTAGGGTTAATGTGTTGTTCAAAAGGGTTACTCTCTGGCTTAATTGGATGATATGTTTGTTAATTGCTATACTATATTGTGAATGGACTTATCAATTAATTTCTACAGCTTGGCATGTGACATGGGTGTGTTAAAGTCCATAAAGGCTATTTGCTCCGACTTGTTCTCTGGTTATCCCACGAGCTACAAGCGCTTGTCAACTCAGTCCCGAGAGGCTTACATTTCAAGATTCTCTGTAATTACATTTATAATTAGTTTTATACTTTATGTTTTAAAGTTAAACTCATTAAAGTTTTAGTATCCATAACAGATTACATGTGAGTCGTACTTGTTGATTCATCCTCTTATTGCAGCTGGAGTACACATGGGCGCCGTCGGATAATGAGAGAATGGTCTCCACCCTCCATGCGCTATTTGCTAATCGCTATCGGGCAAATTTCTCCAATTTAAGAATTGCTGCACAAGATAAGTTTATTGATTATGCTAAAGGTCAGGATCTGGACTGTGCTCTCGTAATGCCCTTCAGACCGGAGTTTGCATCTCCAAACATATGGCATGACTTATGCCTTCTTGGAAAGTTAAAGCATAATCGTATCGGTAAGTAATTCTCATATTTTTTAACTAAAATAGCAACATAAGTTACTAATTTTTGTAACTTGGTTGTAAGTGTTATCCAAGGTTTAAAATGGCAGGTTCGGGTATCAAGGCAATTTGTTCCTAAGAGGCGAGGCGTGAGCCTTGAGACATATTGAGGTGTAAGCCTCCAAATATGGTGACATATAATACTTGAAATAGTTAAACTAATAACAAACAACTAAAGAAGTAAAGGATATATCCATAATTATAAGTCCAAGTGTAAAACACAAACACATATGAGCTAATACAATTAAGTCATTAGAATTCAAACACAAACAGAAACGTCACACACAAACAGACATATCACACACAGAAACATCACACACAAACTGAAAGATGAATAGAAAGTATACGCTAGAGACTTAATGTTTAAATGAATAAAAGAGTTGTTAGAGTTTAAATGAAGTAAGACTTGTTAGGGTATAGTGTAGCCACATGTTTAAAATGTACTCCGGGCCTTATATTAAATGAAATGCCTTAGGTTTTTTTAACTTTTTTAAGTTATTGCACATTAAAAGTAGAGAAACAACGGAAAAGCGCCTCAGGGTGCCTCAAGGCGTACGCCTCAACTTTTGAGGCGTGAGCCTCTTAACCTGCGAAAAACCTAAGCCCTGATAGTCAATTGGTATGCTTCACCTTGAGGCGCGCCTCAAAACCCACCTCTTAAGCGCCTTTTAAAACTATATAAAACCCGCCTCTTATACACAATATATTCTTTAGAATCAGAATGCAAGTATGCGACATTTTTTTAAAAAGTGAAGTGATGGATTGATCTTAAGTTTGCTAGATTATTATCCAAATGTGTACATTACAATGGAAAGTGTAAATTATTTGTGTACATTATGCCTAATAGAATGAGCCAACCTCAATGAGCATGTTGGCCCAAGTCATGATGATTTTGATAGTATCCATGGCAGACATAGTTTTGGCGTTAGAAATGAAGCGGGGAAGAACATTCTGGATTTTGCTTCAGTTCAAGAAAAGAGACTCTCACCTTGTGAGCTATAGAGTGGAGCTAACAATACCCAAATTGATTACTTTTTAGTACAAACAACTTGGAGAACTAGCTTCAATGATTGTAAGGTTATCCTAGGCGAGAGTGCTATCACTCAACCAAGGATGGTTGTACTTGATTTCCAATGTAAGAAGAGAAGGCGAGTTAAGTTTCACATGGAACCAAAGATAAAGTGGTGGAGGCTTGAAAGGGATCTCCAACAAAGTTTTGCACACAAAATGTTGGAGGAAGATGTATGGTGTATCGATAATGACACACATCTACTGTATGGTTATAAATGGAGTTGACCATTAACAAAGTGGCGAAAAAGATATTTGAAGAATCTAAAGGATGCATGACGCAAAAAAAGATGCATCTTGGTGAAATGATGAGGTGAAACAAGCAATAAGGATTAAAAGGGAATGCTACAAAAAGTTAGGCAAAAGTTGGAGCGATGAGAACATAGAGGAGTACAAGAAGACTAAAGGAAAAGCAAAGAAAGTTCTAGAGGAAACAAGTGAGTAAGTGAACAAGGGATTGTATGTAAAATTGGACTCTAAGGAAGGAGAAAATAATATTTACAGACTTCTTCGCCTCATGATCATATGACTACAGATACCGAAAAAGTTAAGTGTATGAAGGATGTCGATCAAATAGTACTAATGAAGAGCGAGGAAATAAAAGAGCGGTGGAAGTCATACTTGGATACCTTGTTCAACGGGAATAAAGTGCACTGTATTGATGATAATGCACCGTATTGATGATCTTATTATACCCGATTAAGTGATGAATCGAGGCTTTGTGAGAAGGATCCAAACGACAGAAGTTAAAGAGGTTCTGAGAAAAAATGGAGAGGAAGACAACAGTGGGTGCAAATGGTATACCGATCGATGTTTGGAGAAGCTTGGGAGAGAAAAGCATCGAGTTACTAACACGTTTCTTCTACATGATTTGGAGAAACAACAAAATGTTAGTGATTTGGCGGAAGAGTATTCTCATTATTCCCCTATTTAAAAACAAGGGTGATGTACAAGAATGTGTCAACTATCAAGAGATGAAGCTTGTAGTTACACCATGAAACTTTGCGAGCACAGACTCCCAAAAGGTGTGAAAATTTCGGAGAATCAGTTTGTTTTATGTCTGAACGCTTAATATCTGAGGCCATTCACCTTCTTAGACAAGTTGTGAAGAAGTATAGAGACACTGGAAAAGATCTACATTTGGTGTTCATTGACTTAGAAAATGCATATGATAAGTATCTCAAGAATTCCTTTGGTGGGTCTTAATTAGAAAAGGCGTATCACGTAAGTATATCAATATCACCGTGGATATGTATGAGGCTTGTACTACAAGTGTTCATACTAGTGCAGGGAGGACTGCAGGGCTCCCTATTATCATCGAAGTGAACCAAGGATCTGCTCTGAGTCATTTTTGCTTGCTATAATCATGGATGAACTTACGAAATCAATTCAGGAAGATATACCGTGGTGCATGATGTTTGTTGACGATATTGTATTGATTGATGAGACGCAATCGGGTGTTAAAACAAAGTTGAAAGTATGACGATTGTTGATTGACGACAAACATTGGAGACCAAGGGTTTCGGACGGAGCCGAAACAAGACTCAGTATATGGAGTGCAAGTTTGGTGGAGATAGAAGTGGTAATAACAACAGGATTACCCTTGATGGTAAAGAGATACCGGTGTGTGATATGTTCTGTTACTTAGACTCCATTAATTTAGAAGGATGGCAAATTAAATGGAGATGTATCCCATAGAATCAGAACAAGGTGGATGAAATGGAAGTGTGCGCTAGAATTTCTATGTGATCGAGGTATGCTGACTAGACTGAAGGGTAAATTTTATCGAACTGCAATTAGACATGCATTGTGTTATGGCGTGGAGTGTTGTGCGATGAAACAATGTCGGATTCAAAATACGAGTGTGACAGATATACATATGTTGCATTGGATGTGAGGACATACTAGAAAAGATCATTTGAGAAATGATATAGTGAGACAAAAGATGGGAGTAACATGCAAACAGACTTGGATTAGAGAAATAAGAATTAATATGCTTCTTTTTGGGTTAGATTAGAGTATGACTTTGGATAGAGGAAAATCAGAAAGTGGAGGGTGCATATTCGTGTGGAGGACACGTGATATCTTTCTTTTCTTTCCTCTCTTTCCCCTCTCATTTTCTTTTATCTTTTATCTTCTTTATCTTTGATGTTCTTATGTTATTTTTATATTTCTTATGCTCTTTTATCTTTTAATGTTTCATCTACCTTGTGTTCTTTTGTTATTTCATCTTATATTTGTCTTTATTTTATCCATTTTATCTTTATATTTTTATTATTCTCATCTTTCTTATGCTCTCATCTTTGTTATCCATTTGTCTGATATCATGGATCGATTCATGTTAGCCAACTTAAAGTCTTTTGGAAATAAGGCTTTGATGTTGTTGTTATTGTTTAAGATATCTAGTCATGCTGGGCTTGTTTGGAAAATTGGAGTGCTTCACTAACATGATTGTTGTAACGCTCTTTGCTATCCCGAAAGTAAAACTCTGTGAATCTCTGATCCTTAAATTACTGAACCAGTAACATTTTTTTACTAGTTTCTTCAAAATCTTTCCCCTAAATATTCAGAAAGCTCTCTTGCTTTAACATTTTACTCAAAAAATTATGCCAATGTGTTTGCTTGCATATAATTAGTGATTTCAATGTAGATTCACATTGAAAATAAAGTAGAGATGAACCGAAGATTGTAAGAAGTTTACCTTACTTAATTGTGCTTATGATGTTAACTTGAGAACTGGTTGCTTTAAAAAAATTGTAGCAATCCTTGGGGAAGGTGAGGTTCCAGTTATAACAATGGGCAGGAGGTCAAAGTCACGAAGGCTTGGTGAAATGGTATTCTGTTTAATCTTATTTTGATATGTACTACCGTAGTATTAATTAAATCTATTCACGTTTTCATGTTTTACTAATTAGAAATCAATTTCGAACGGACTTCAGTTACTTTTTTTGTCAAATGTGTTCACTTAAATAAATTGAGTCACAAAGTTGGAATATTGCATTTGGGAGTTCAAACTGTTCTAAAAATAATAGAAATGAGATAGTAACACCGCCCTTCAAATGTGTTATGAACAACCTACATATATATACATATATATATGTATATATATATATGTTAAATTAAAATGGTAATTGGTAAAAACTAAAAGTTAGGTTACAAATTTACTTTGCTACAAAAGTTTTCAGGGACACGCAATCTGTGAGCGTTCAATGGCCTGATCAGTTTCATTCGTTCTCTTCAACCAAGCATTATTGGCTCCTGATTGATATGGAGAACATGATAAAGTAGCAGTTATGCTTATTATCCCTTGGGGTTTGTTTGGAACTTAGTAAATGCTGGGAAGGAAGATATCTGGGATAATTTTAAGGAAATAAAATATGGAGCAAAATAAAGACTTGAGAATTTTAGTCTTAACTCTAATATCATTAAAAAATATTCTTCTTATTATTATGTCATTATTTTCTAAGTTAAAATCATACAAAAGAAAATGACTTCCCTTGGCCTCTTTTCCCTGTTTATTTTATCATTTACCTTCAGTGACAGAATTCACTTCATAATTTAGAGAAATTACACATAAGGTGGGGGGGGGGGGAGGGGAAATCTTGTCCAAGAGACCAAAAAATGAACAGTTTTAATAATTTCAATAAACAATACTCCTGTATTTTACTCGAAAAGTTCAACTTTAGTTTTTTTTTCTTTTTTTCTTTTTTCTTATACCCCAGGGGGATCAGTCTTGTCCTGTACAAATGCTATCATGTCCAGCTGTTTCTTCAAGCTTTTCTATTAGAACTAATGCTAACAAGTCCAGCAGAACTTGTATAAAAATAAAAACTGGTGAGAGTTTAATGATTATGTTTTGCTAATATTGTAGGAAACTAGGGAGACACAGGAGCGCAACTCTCAGGCCGAGGCACTCATGGCCAGAAAAGCTGAACTTAGGATTGAGTTTGAATTGCTTGTGACGATGCAGAAGGGTTTCAGTATCCAGATGAGTAATATCTTCAATGCTATGGTCAGTATGGGTGTGTTTAACTCTGGGGGATCGTCATCTCAGAATCAGCCATCGCCAATACTTGAGCATCCACAACCTCAGCCCACCAATGTTCAAGCAGCCACAACCTCAGCCACCAATGTTCAAGCAGCCACAACCTCAGCCACCAATGTTCAAGCAGCCACAACCTCAGCCACCAATGTTCAAGCAGCCACAACCTCAGCCACCAATGTTTGAGTACCAACCTACGATGATGACAAACCAGTCTAGTTCACTCAGCCAGCTCTCTGGGATGACTTGCGCACATGCGCAGCGCAATAATTTTCCTTCACAGTCCAGCCCCAATATCCACCCAACATCTCTGTCACCACAATCGCCTTCAAAAGCTTCTTCTACCCCTATGATCGGACAGACTCGAGATGACCCATCATGCTCCAACGGTGGTGGCACTGAATTAAGTGATAATGTAAACGCTATGGAGAATACCTGTTTAAATAGTAATGATTAGTGGATTTGTCAAGAGCTTAAGAATAAATTAAAGTATACATTTCTATATAAGCCAAAAGATTAACACTTGGACTACTTTATTCTGGTCTGCAAAAAATTTCCAAAACTTTATGCCGAGTCATCCGTCTCACAGGCCTTCTGAAATGAGAAAGGCATGGGCACACTGTTGTCGGTTTTTTATTCCTGCTCAACCCCATAGAAAATATGGACAGTTCCGTTGGAGAGTGTACTTTTAACCCAATATTAATTCTTTGTACGTGGCAATGCATTTTTCATCAATCCCTTGTCCCATGAATCCATGATGATATTTGAATAAAACATGTTTCTTAGTGAATAAGATATTTGAATAAAACTAATTTGAATAATAGCTGCTATTATATTATTAATATATGTACATCACTACATCTCATCCATCTTCAGTTTTGGTAATTGAAGAATTTAATTTTGCCTTTATTTCAATTATGTTTGTTATGATAGATGTAATCAATAATCATGTTATTCCGTTTTGAGTTTGTTTTCCTATCATTGAATGTCTTTTTTTGAGAAGGTACTATTGAATGTTAAGGGCGATAAAACTGAAATCATAAGCCAGGAAGTAGGCTAATAAATGTGATTTCACAATGTGTATATGATTACCGAGTTTTTTACACATATATTACCAAAATTAATAGGGTTTACAAAAATATTACCATGACTATTTAAAACGCATCAAGTCCCGTAACTAAACTAGAGAAATGACATGATTGCCCAAAACCGTTCAAACCTATGGAGCGATAGATTTCTGGATTTTCCTAAATTCTAGACATTCCGTTACCTGATTGCGTTGTTTATGGAGGTCACTACGGAACGATTCACTACTAAAATACGGAAGTGGGAGACTTCTAATTTTATACGGCAAGCATTTGTAAACCACAGAGGAAGAAAGTATCATACCCGTGAAGAAGACGAAGTCACAAATTTGAGGTTAGTTCCAATGTTTAAACTTTCTTCTGATGCAGTTTTGAGTGTGAATTAGAGTGAATATGGTGATGCAGAATTCCGAGGATTAACACGACTATGAGGATTTGGGGTTTGCAATACATTGTTGACCCTGTAGAGAGTATAGATTGTTGCAGTAATGTGTGCACCCTAAATCTGGTGTTCACTTAAACGTAGAAGCAAGTAATTTATGGGTTGGAATGGGGTAATGAATTATGTGATAATTTGAAGGGACATAAGTATGGAGTTTCTGGGAGTAAAATCAAGACTTTAAGGGATGGGAATATAGTAATGGAGATATAGAACAAAGTAATGATTTAGATAGTTAGTAGTTTTTAGTTGGAAGACATAGTAGCTCAAATAGTATTGTACTCCTAGTATATAGTAATGACTATTAAGTAAAATGTGGTTTCCTGAATAGTAATGTTTATGACTATGTTCCAGTGATTATATGTTGAAAGAAAAAGTGTGTCTATTTTTGTTGAATAAAATATTTGAAGTAATGAATTACAAGTAAAGGTAAGGAGTATTCACTATCTTTGATTCATTAGTAAAGTAGGGGATTGGACATGAACGTAGAGATTGAAACAACATAGTAATTAATATGAAGTCATGAACCCCAAGTAGAGAAGTGGTAGGTAGTAACTATTGTGGGTGTAAGCGTTTGAGGTAGAGGAGTCAGTCACTTGAAGTAAGTAACTGGAAGCAGATAAGTAGTAAGTTGTAACTCGTACTGTTATCATATTCAATAACATCTTGAGTAAATTATTTGAAGTAATGAATTACAAGTAAAGAAAAGGAGTCTTTACTCGCTGTATTTTATTAGTAAAGTAAGGAATTGGGCATGAACTTAGAGATTGAGGCAGACAAGTAATTTACTTGAAGTCATGAACGCCAAGTAGAGAAATGGTAGGTAGTGGCTATTGTGGGTGTAAGCGTTTGAGGTAGAGAAGTAAGTCAGTTAAAGTAAGTAACAGAAAGTAGATAAGTAATAAGTATTAACTGATATTGTTATTAAATTCAATAACAAATAAATAAGAGTATAGTAAGTCAGATTGATTTAAAGAAATATAAGACCAGTGGATGCAATTTAATTGGTTAGATGGTAATGTTTTTTTATTTTGTTTCAGGGAGATAGAAACTGTGTTAGTGACAGTGTTGAAAGGAGATGGATGGAATGAGAACAAGGAATTTAAAATGACATCGACGCATGGCATGATCGTGAATTCTTTGACAACATATGGAGGGCTGGTTGCACAGCTGGGCGAGTTAATACATTTTGATACAGAGGTCCAGAATGTGCACATAGCTTACATGATTGACAAGTCATTTACACCAACAATTATTGACAATGAAGTCAGCCTTCGTTTCTACTTACAGTTAAAGGCCAGTGTGAGGGAAAAGTAGGAGCATTCCCAATGTGCGTACAAGTTCAAGGCAGTGGCTACGTAGTGCAAAGTTCTGGGAATGAAGGGAGTATTGTGACAAGAGATCTCATATCTGCTGAACTAGGTCCTCAAAATGATGAAAATACTACACTGTTTAGTTAGAATTTGGCAGTCTCTACCAGTAGGGATTCATTTGGATATCTAAATGGTGATTTGTTGGGGGAAGAGAGTACTTCATCTTGACCTCAAACAATGCAGAATCCATGAACTCAATGGATCGAGTAGCAAGAGAGTACATAATATCTACACTTATAGAGTACTTGAGATACAAAATGCAAGAGTGGTTCTATAAACGAATGACATTGGCAAATAAGATAAGCACAACATTGACACCATCTGGCGAATCAATGCTAGTGGAACGCCTCAAGAGTGGTTCAATGTAAGTAAATACAAATTTTAAATTCATTTATTTGTAGAACTATTGTCATGTCATTGGATATTATAGTTATTGTTGCTAAAATTGCCAAAACTTAATACTTTAGGTAAAACCAAGCACTGGGTTTAGCGCGGAAGTGATAAACTTGGCGTGTAAAACATTTGTGGTCAATCTCGAGAAAAGAAGATGCATCTGTAGAGAATTCTAGTTAGAAGACTTTGTGTGTGTTACGTTCATGCCGTTGCTGTAATTGGACACATGAATGGGCTGTCATGTTATGATTACGTATCAGATTATTACAAAACGACGTCATGGTGTGAGAAATATTCTGGGGTAATTCATCCCATTGGGTCATACTCGAATGATGACATTCCAGAGCAATATAGGATCTTGGTAGTTAAACCACCTCTGTGCACAAATAGAACAGCAGGAAGACCAAAGACAAAGAGAATTCGTTCAACCGGTGAATTTGGGGCAAAACAGAAGTGCAAAAGATGCAAACAGCATGGGCATAACCAAAAAACTTGCAATAATCCAATACCATTGTAGAGTAGTGAGAGTTATTGAGAAGGATATTTATGTTTGTTATCAATTTTTTGAGATTTTTTATGCAATGTAGAATGCACATGCAGGGCATTCAGATATTGGTTTGGTTTTTGAATTGGAATAAATTAAGTAGATTGATTTTTGTGTATGATGTGCACTTGCATATTTGTGTGAGAAATTTGATACTAACATTTTGAAGAATAGTATGAGATTATTATTGTAACAAGTATAACCTGAAAAGGTAATTGAGAAGAGGACATAACATTTCGTAGTTACTTGATTTGTGGTTTATTGTGTCATGTTAAATTAATATGACGCGTTTAAGTGACTAACTCAGGTGAATTGGTTCTTTAAATTACCGTATATAAGGTGCTGGAAGATATTGCTTGTGTAAATGTAAGAGTCCAAGTATTGAAGTAACTATAACTCAATAGATGAAGTTAGTTGTATCATATAGTTATTCTAATGAGTAGATGAGTAATTTACAGAAAATCCAACACTACTGTTGAACACATCAATTCGGAAAAGTAATGGAATGAAAGTGTATCCAAAGGATGGGACAACATGAAAAAACTCAATGAAAGTATCTTGGCAGAAGTAGCAAGGTCTCATGATTAAAAAAATGAAAATTAAATCTGTAAAATAGAAAAACTATGTAACTTCTTTCTTCAATTGCGTCATGTGGACCTACTCTTATTTGCCTTTTAAGTGTCCATAATGGTAGAGGTCATAACCCACTTCGCGCTGTATTCTACGATCTTTGATGGACAAACCTTAGAGATATCCATCCGCATCTGTAGAACCTCTGCAAACTTGAGCATTAGCACACCAGAATCACCCTTGCAATAGTTCAAAAGTAATATTAAAAGCTTGAAATAAAACTGAAATGTGAATAGATGCACATTGATTCAATCATTTACCCATTTAATTGTTACGGAACATCTTTAACGACTTGAAATTTATACGATGGAGCATCTTTATATGACTCATTCTGTCATGATAATTGAATCCTAGGATAGTTGTGAAATCTAAAACACAGAAGGAATGTATGAGTTATCATACCCTGAATTTCAAAGTACAAATCAAAGGGGTTTTCAGACTTATCAAACTTGACCAAATTCCCTAAGAGGTAATGTATGAGTTGGCCGCTGCAGGACATTTTCCTAGCATCTATGAACACACCGAATACTGTTTTCCTAAATAGTTGTAGTTGATGAGGTTGTAACTTCTCCTTGACTACAAAAACTAAATAAAAGAGCCTAGAAAATGTATTCACTTTCCTGAACTTGATGTTTTTATAAACCAAAGATTTTTTTACTAGCCGGTTGTACTTCTGTAAATAACATGAGCTGAAAGTTAGTAACTGATATTCTAAAAGTAGGTTGTAGGGAGAAACTAAATGTGTAAACATGCTATGTCTGAACACAACACGGGCTTTGAAGATGGCGGGGGATTCGTGAAGTCATCCATTTCTTCCATGCTCTGCTTCACAAAAATGTCTGAACAATAGCAGATACACGAAGGATTCTAATATAGGGTTTTCAAGGTGCATATTCATCATTAATATAGTCAAAGTACTGAGTGGAGTGTAGAAACATGCAACCTCATATGAATAAAAATGAAGACCCAACAATATGAATTCAAGCCGTTGTGAGTTCATTCTGAACACAAGGCAGTGAATTATATTAAATTTTCAGAAAATCAGCATTGGGAATTCATTTCTGGAAACAACTGATACAAAGAAATAAGAAGATAGAAACATTACACTGTATTTTGGCAATGGATTTTGATTTTCAATTTTTAAAAACACGACATCGGGATTTATTTTCCCATAGAAACAGAGACTAAGATTTGAGAAGATGGAAAAATTACACTTGATATTGGTTGGAGTAATTCTTACTGTATGAAACTCCTGCAGAAAATTGTTCAGAAGATAACTACGTGCGGCATGCCTCTTTGGAGAAATCGTCCTATACGGTGATATCGGATTAGGGTTTAGAATGAGAAGTTCATTGGATTTACAAAGCGGAATTAACG